GGGGGGCAATAATGATAGCGTATAATATTGCCATGTTTCCTTTGGAGTTGTGGGATGGGTAGGTTGGTTTTCCGTGAGTGTGAACTCTCATTTCATCCTTCCTGCTCGATTATTGGGTCTTCCTCTCCATTCAGGAGTCAAGACTCCATCGTGCCTGACTGCTGTTTCTCTATGAATGTCTTCAGACAGAAATATTTTGTTCTGCCCTCAGCTATTCTCCTTGGCATGTTTTTCACTGCCAATTATAGCCTTCAGCTTGAGAAAGGTGTTATACTTGGGCTGTGCAAATCCTTCAAAAGAGGTGTTTTGCAGCATTTGAAAGAGCATATGGAGTCCCACTCTTTATATAAAGTATTACTGAAAATCTAAAATCTACTAGACATGGATTTATGCAGCAGTTGTGCTCTTCTTTAGGAAAAACAGATGACGCCAAAGCTTCTGAAAAAGTAAAAACTCCCCTGAAAGGAACTTCCATCCAGCGGTCCCCTTCAGATGCAGGAAAAAGCAGTGGAGATGAAGGGAAAAAGCCTCCTTCTGGCATTGGTCGATCAACAGCAACAGGTTCCTTTGGTTTCAAGAAAGCTGGAGTCAGCTCTTCAACAATAATCACTGCAAGTGGAGCAACTATAACAAGTGGCTCAGCAACTTTGGGAAAGATACCCAAGTCTGCAGCCATTGGTGGAAAGTCAAATGCAGGGAGAAAGACCAGTCTAGATGGTTCTCAGAATCAAGAAGATGGTGTGTTACATATGAGTTCAAAGACCACTTTGCAGTATCGAAGTTTGCCACGTCCTTCAAAATCAAGCACAACTGGGATTCCTGGCCGAGGTGGACACAGGTCCAGCACCAGCAGCATTGACTCGAATGTCAGCAGCAAGTCTGCAGGTGCTGCTGCCACCAACAAATTGAGAGAACCTACAAAGATTGGCTCAGGTCGATCTAGTCCTGTAACCATCAACCAGACAGACAAAGAAAAGGAAAAAGTGGCGGTATCCGATTCTGAGAGCGTATCCTTGTCCGGTTCTCCCAAATCAAGTCCAACTTCAGCCAGTGCTTGTGGAACACCAAGTCTCAGACAGCCAGGTTCAAAATACCCAGATATTGCCTCACCCACATTTAGAAGGTAAAGTGTTTTATGTGGAGCTTGTGGAGTTTATGTTTTATTGTGAGCTTGTCCCCTCTCCCCCCTCCCAAAGAGAGTGATATTCAATGGGCACATTATAGAGGTGGTTTCCTTTGGAATAGGATCGTTGGAGGATTATAGTATTTCATAATATTTGAGTTGATTTCTAGATGTGTGAGCTGACCATAGATGAAGGCAAACATGCTCCAACAGCAAAATAGATTTCCACACATCAGATTTCCAGGGAAAGACAGCTTCCACAGTGACACTGCTACAAATCTGTGTCTCTCTTTCTCCTTGTGTTTCTCTCTTCTCTTACAATAAACTGTTTCATCTAATATTCAATAGATGTACCTAAAAGTGCTATAATCTCCAGTGAAAATTGGACAGGGCAGACATTTAGCTTACATTTATTATTCTGAAATATTTCAGACCCATTCGGAGAGCAATCATTCATCACTTAACCAATAGTCCTAACAAAAGCTGTACTTAGCAACTTGATTACTAACTATTTAAGAAGTTTAGCAGTTGCCTTTGCATTTTCTCAACTGTTTGATAGCAAATCAAACCAGCCTTTAGAGCTCACCAAAGCCTTTTCCATTGTCATCAAACACATCTTGCACACTTTAACCTGAGGTTCAGAAACATTTGGGCTTCCAGTATGACCAGTAGTCAGGGTTGATAGGAATAGTAGTCCAATATCATATGTAGATGTTAAAGGCTTCACTGAGCTTTTTATAATTTTCCCAGTTTTTTCCCCAAATGTTAGAATTCAGGATTCTCCATTGGAGATGGATGCAGGGCAGATAAAAGTTAGTAATTCCTCATGCATAGTCAAATTTTGGAATTTCTACCAGAGGGTATAGCAGTGACCATGAATCTGAATGGTCTGAAAAGGAATAAGACAATTAATGGAGGACAGAGCTGTCAATGGCTATTAGTCAATATTTCCTATATGTTTCCTCAAGTTCTCTTTATAGGATTCCCAAAGAATTTGGTTGACTCTTCTTAAGTTTATAAGGGCTGTCAAAAAGCAATTAGAAGGAAAAGCAGACACTTCTTGACGTATTGAGTTTTTACTTACAGCTATTCATTCTGTTTCCTTCATAGCAGTGAAAGATCTCTGGAGTACAGAAATTACACAGTGTGTATGCGTGTGTTTCTTAAGGAAAGGACAGTTTATTTTAAGAAGGATTTAGGATATAATAGTACATTTAAATAAATCATTTTATTAGAATATGCACATTACAAATTACTATATTTCTATATGCAGCGCTCATGAGAAATTCCTGGAGAATAGCTATAAGTATTTGGCTAACAGTTATTACTTTGCTGTGAAATATGGTGAAGACTTAGGCAAATTATAACTGTCTCCCAACTTATTACAACTCTGCAACATTTAAAATGAAATGTTGACTAACAAAATAAATGTGGAATTCCCAATACAGTTGAAAGTTGATCTGACACCTACAGATAGTTGCAATTGATCTTCTCTTTTTGGATGCTATGCAATGCTCATCAGCTGTTCAGTGGGCAAAAAGAAATAAGGGAGGATCTAAATCCAATCATAAACAGCTGATGCTATTCAGGGTGCCTAACGGGACAAAGGAAGGCCTGTACCCACATAGTTTAATGTGTGAAGTCTACTGTAGAATAGTTATCTACATAAATGCTTCTCTCATCTAGTCAAGACAGTGGAAGTGGAAGTCTGCTTCTACTTGCCTCTGGATGGCTGATAACTGATTAGGAATAGCATAGGATCAGGAATCCTATATATGGTAGACTTGAAATTCTATAAGCTAAATAGCTAACTAGCAGATGAATGTTCACTAAAGAATGAACATCTCTTTATATTTCTGGATTATAAATTATCTTTTAAACATTCTTATTAGGTAGACAATGATAGACAAGTTACACATTTTTGGAATATGCCATGGATACAGTCACAAAAGGGCTTCATAAGAAGCTTTATGGCCAGATACAATTACCATCTTACTGGATGTCAATGTCCAAGATACTCTGTATCACCTGAACCTTTCTTTTCCTTTTCTTTCTTTTTTTCTGGGCAGATGTGCCAACTTCCAAAGAAAGGGCTGAACTGCATTAATCCACAATTTTTATTTTCTGAGAAGGCCTAAGGGTCTATACGGGGCACAAAGACAAGGAAACTGGAGGCTACCACACTGCTTATATCATATTAACTTCTATTTTAAAAGAAACACTAATGGATTTTTTTACAAAAGCATATATTAGTAAAGTAGGGAGGGAGTTTTGTAGACACTAGGGGAGATACCTACGATGTCCAGGTATGATGTTCCTTGTCTCTGGTCATTCTATGATGTTGCAAATTGTGCCAAAATAGGAAGCCTATCTTGATTGGAAGATTTGAAAGACAGCAGTATTTTCATCAGAAATGTTCTCCAAATAAATAAGAATAAGATCATTTTTAAACCATATTGGCAATCTTTAGATATTAAAAGCTGACAACTCACGTATCAAGAACATGGTTCTATCAAAAACACAAGCACATTGAAAGAAAGCCAGGACTACCCTCTTGTGGCCAGTCACCAATACAACATTTTACTTAGGAATTGTTTATGACTGTGGCTTTTATTATAAATAAATGTGATGTTGATTGATTCCCATTGCCATTCAACCAACTGTAAATTTAGAAAACCCTTCCTGCAAAATTTATAGCAGTGTAGAGTATTTCAGATCTTTTAGAAATGGGATTCTCTACAGCTTTACAAAAGAAATCTATTTTAAAAAGGACTTTCCTTCTAGTGGAGACTGCTGGAGTGGGGATCTACAATAAATATAAATAAATAAAATAAATAAAATAAATAAAATAAATAAATAAAAATAAACTCTTCATGTGTATACATAGACACATATGGAAAGAAATAGAAATTAGCATTTTTCACCTAATTTGAGATTTGAGAAAAATATTGATTTAGTAGCTATCTGTAATCATGCTATAATACTTTAGTAACTAAAATATCTTCTGATTAAGCTTTTGAAATAATTGTTAGGCTTTGGTGAAAGTTAAATCATTTTAGGCATCCACATAACAGAGGGATTGTTGAGTTTGTCATCTCTGTGGGAAGGTCTGTATTTCTTAAAGAGCAAAGTGTGAATGAGTGCTCTTCAGGTTGTAAAAAAATACAGTTCTAAATAATGCATGGTCAAAATGGATTCCCTTGTGAGAATCAGTTAGGTAAAAGTAACTTGTGCGAGCTGTTTCAGTGATGTGGGTATACTGATATTCCAGATATTATGATGTGAAGCTTTGGTTTCTAACATTTAGGTTGTTGGTTTGCTTCTAGGTTGTTTGGTGCTAAAGCCAGCGGCAAAACTGCCACTGCACCAAATACAGAAGGCGTGAAATCTACATCTGCCATGCCCAGCCCTAGTACCACATTAGCTCGGCAAGGCAGTCTGGAATCTCCATCTTCAGGCACAGGTAGCATGGGCAGTGCAGGTGGGCAGAGTGGAAGCAGTAGCCCCCTCTTCAATAAGCCGTCGGACTTAAATACAGATGTTGTAGGCTTAAGTCACTCCTTGGCTTCAAGTCCAGCCTCAGCCCATTCTTTCACATCAGGTGGTCTTGTGTGGGCTGCAAACCTGAGTAGTTCTTCTGCTGGTAGTAAGGATACACCAAGTTACCAGTCAATGACTAGTCTCCACACCAGCTCTGAATCTATTGATCTCCCTCTTAGTCATCATGGCTCCCTTTCTGGATTGACCACAAGCACTCAAGAGGTTCAGAGCCTGCTCATGAGAACTGGAAGTGTCAGATCTACTCTTTCAGAAAGGTGAGTTAACGATAGAGAGAGACATAGTCATAACTGAGGCTGGGGGGGGGGGGCACTTTGAAAAATTAAAGTTTGAAGAAAGCTCAAGAAAGCTTAATGCCAGTGGGAAGTATATCTCAGAAAACTGTCTTAAAAGTCAAACTATTTTTTAAAATATAATCGTGGCACACTTTCTAGAGAATCTATTAAATTATGATTATTTGAAATTAAGATACTTGTGAAACATTTAGAAAATAGTGATGACATTAAAAAAAACTAATAGTTGCCTTGGGTTCAAAACAGTGATTCTTAAGTATTCCTTCATTTGCTTAGATCATTCTCAAAATTGTAAAAAGAAGATAATCTTAAATAGTATAACCCAGCCATTGTAGCTAGGCATAGAATATATATTACTGTATATGTAATGGTACAATTGTACTTAACAATAAGTTGATGATATCTTACTTTATATTGGTGCCTGGAACTTGGGCAGAAACTATATAATGGCTGTCTTCTGACTTTGCGGTAGCCTGATCTAAGTCATCCCTTCCCTCTTCTCTGGAGATTTCTCTAGAAAGTCTCTCTTAAAGATAACTGCACATTACCCAAGCTCTAAACTGTTTATTTTTAACTATGAATAGTCTTGTTGTATGTGAAAGTTTTAACTCTACAACACATTAATATTTGTTTTAAGAAAAGTATATAATAAATTTGTATGGAGAGATCAATAAATAAGCAATTCATCTTCATAAAGTTCAACAGCCTTCCCTCAGTCATGACATTTAGAAGTTTTGAACTGTAAACCTCTGTTGGTCCTAACAAGCAGGGTGATTAAGTCTTTTGTGTATAGTTGATGGGAAGAGACCAGTTGGGAAAGGCTGAATGTAGTGTTTAAAATGGTTTGTTTGAAAGTAAACATAGTTAAGAATAGGTGTATTTAAAATAGAAGGAGGATTTTTAGGCATCTCCTTGTGGTTGTGCTAAGAAGTGAAAAACTTGTGTTGAGTCTTTGTTAACCCAGAACAAGCTGATATGCTCATGGCAAATACGTGATTCACACTAAAGTCATCATGACACTATGTACTGTATATTTGTTCAGTGCTTCACTTAAAAGTCTTTGTATGTATTATATTGCATGGGTTTGTGTGTGTGTGTGTGTACATGGTCACACACATGCTTTGTTTCTTCTCGGAATATCTCTGAATAACATTTTCAGACTATTGATTGTGTTGGTAGATTTATGCTATATTTGTCTTCACAAATGTCAAAGAACAATGAAGCGGGCAGCATAAAGTAACACAGATCCACAGCAACAGCTGCCTAAGCTGTCCAGACACAGACTATTTCTCACAGATATCTCTGAGGACATCCTAGGCAAAACAGCTACTTAGTCCCTCTGCTCCAGGCTGGGGTACTTCTGGATTCAGCAAATGGTTGACAGTTCCATTGGACTGAATGGCTCCTGCTCATAGAAAACGATTGTTTAATTGTGCAGGGGTTTTTTTCCCTGATCAGATATTGCAGGAATGTGACTGAATATTTAAACTATTTACTACAGTATAATAACAATCATTTAATAGGGTGTAATCATTTATCATTTACTCTTATCTATTTATGATGGAACTATACCACCCAGAGTTACGTTTGGTGAGATGATCAGCTATATAAATTTGCTAAATAAATAAACTAAGAAAGATGCTGTAGTGAATATTTTGAATATTCAGTCATATTCCTACCATATCCAATCAGTGAAAAAAAATCCCTATCCTATTTTTAGTTGTATCTACGCCATTTCATGTCCATTTCAGGATGCACCTTCAAAACTTGCTGGACACAACTAACTGTTTTTGGGCTAGCACCCATCCCTATGACTTTGTGAGAAATGCTCCCAATATAACAGTAATTTTCTTTCAATGAGCCTGGCTTAGCGGTGGGGTGTTGTGATCTACCTCATTTCAGATCTTAAACAAGTTGTCTCTTGAACTCCTTGGTATTGCTACTGAGGACTGTCCCTGGCATCTCTGCAGGTTCTCCTCCTTCTACAGGGCCAGGTTTTATGCCGTCTATATGCTGTAGGGATTCTGGATCAGTGAATTCATGTACTGCTTCCTGAGTTACAGGAAGCAGTACATGAAAGGCCTTTCCACCTTGCTGGTTAATTGGAGCCCTGAGCATGGTATGTTCTTGATTTCCAGGATGGGCTCTGGGCAGTGCCTGCAGTCAGGATTAGAAGGTGCATCTTTGCTAACTTTTGATCCTTCTCTTCTGTGTGAAGATCTGTCATATGTGTTATACTAAATCTTCTCTAAATAAGTATGACATAGGGACAATCTTCCATCACCACAAACTTCCACTCCCTTTCCAGCCTCTCCACTGAAATGATAGTTTAACTAGGACATTTGCATTCATACCTAGGCCAGGTGTTGGTCACTGATGAGCCAGGTGCATGGTAGAGATTGTGGCTTCTATATCCATCCAGGTTCCTTTACTGGATTTTCATTTTTATCACATTTGCTAACTACATGATTGGAATAGTATCTACACTGAATTTAGATAAGTCCATATTGGGAATTTCTCTGACTCATGACTTTTGGATTTAACTTGAAGCATTTGGGAGCTGGTTTGGCATAAAGCTTCAGTTATGTTTGACAAGATGTAGCTGGTGCCTAATGTTGTACAGCTGGCATTAGACATGGTATGTCTTGAATTAATCCATGACTGATCAGGTTTCCTCCCACTTCAAGAGTCCTTTGGGATAGTCACAATAGTATGCTTCCACTGCTTCCTGGTTTCTGGAATCTGCCACCTTCTGGCTATCTTTCCTGCTTTCTCTGTAGACTGTGTACTATTCCTCTGTAGACTGGGAACTGCATAGATACAACTAGAGGCAGTTGTGCTAGGAGTTGTTCAAGTAGCATCAGCTGAATGACTTCTTTGCCTTTATTAGCTCTAGAACATGGAGCTATATGGAGTCTGTTTCTTGATCTGGGCTACCTTGTAGAGTTGACAAGGGTAGACCTCCCCTTCAGAAGCTCTCTGGATATTCACTCCCTGTTCCTGCCTCTTGCTTCAGTGTAGTAGCTTGGTATTTACTGCTGCTACTACTGTCTTATAATAGCTGGCAACTAACCCTTAATCCCACTATGTGAGAAACATGGCTTGCACACCCTGTACTGCCATTCTAGTAATTAAAAGTTGAAAATGAAAAAGTTGAAATCATTTCCATAGTATCATTTTCTGGCTGTGTAGCACATAGCATGGCAGTTATAGGATTTAGCCATTCCTTTCCTGCTTGGGAGATAAACCAATCTCACAAGAGATAAAAAAAATAAATCTTTTTTTAAAAAGCTAAATGTTAAAAAAAACCCTATTTTAACCTTTAATATTAGAATACAAACAGTGTAATGTGATAATTACACAGCTGCCCATATCACAGTAATACACCTGCTTGAACATTAAGGAAGAATTTTTGTTTTTTTAAATACAGTTTTCCATATAGATCATAAAGTGGAAATGGTCAGCTACAAATAAACTTGAATGGAAAGATAAAAAAAAAAAGAAGACTTAGTATGATAAAGAAAATATAAATCAAAAACATGGCACAAATTCCTGGCTATATCTGTTGCCTATTTTTACAGCAATAACATATTTTTCCAAGCACATTGGGCAAATTTGTGGCCATAGAGCGGAGTCACCTTTTTATGCAGGCTTCAAATCATTTCAGGCTTTTGGCCATGTTTGTTGAAAAAGGGCAACACATTTTATTGTGATTTTTGAGGTTGGGAACAGATAAAAACTATAGCATAATCCCTAAAAAAGGTATGTGCCAGTTTAAAAAAAAAGAGGGGGAGGGGAATCCTGTGTAATTCTTCCAGACTGATTCTCACATTTTTTATCTGTCTCATCCATTTTTGAGCCTCCCCCCTCCAAATGTTAAGTGCAGTCCTTGATTCCTTACTCTTGCTATCAAGAAGAAGGTGTAGCATTAGGCCACAGGAAAAGTTTCTCTCTTGACAGACAGCTCCTCAGACCTAGTGGTCACTTGCTCATTGCTGTTCAAATAAAACACAAATTTATTTAGTTATTGCTTATACAAGTGGTCCACAGCTCAGGATATAGAACAGTATTTTTTAATTTCATTTGTCTTTGCATTGTCAACCAAAGATGGCACTAGAGATACCACAGTAATCCAATAGATTCATTTTCTGACATGGATACTGTAGTTCCAAACAATTTACTTCCAGTTTAAAAAAAAGGGGGGGGTCTTCAGTAGAAGGAAAGCTTGATGACAGACAGTTTTTTAGCAAGAAAGAGGCAGGCTTTGCATTTCTTTATGTCAGGATATCCAAGAAAGCAGATACGATAGGATTAAAACTCATAGTTTACCTACCACATTAGATACTTCTAGGAGTGAACGTCTACATTATAGTGTGCTTTGAAAAAATAAACTGGCATGACCCTTTTAATTGTTTCTGTAAATTAAACTGTAAGCTCTTAGAAACAATGTAATGTTAAAGCATAAGAAAAATCTTTGGCATTTTTTAATGATACAAATCTAGATTATTGTTTTCAATGGATATTTATTTTTATTTTCTATAGGAGTTTTAGCTTTGTCAAAAAATTCTTTATTTATTGATTTGTTCATTAGACAGAACATTCATGACAACAAAAATTATGAACCTTCCATATGACTAGTATTCACTTTCAGTCTAATTTTTAGTGTTATCTATATATCCTGGTTTTTCAAATGTTGGCATTATGTGCTTCATAACTATTCTTTCAGAAGCAAACAAAATATATTGATATATGGGACAATGCATGAGTGTCATTTAAGCGTGAAAACCTAAAAGAGGATAAAGCTTGCAAATCATCAGGTGCTAAAAACAGATTGTCCTTTCTTAACTAATGGTCAAGGCAGAAAATTTTGGGCAGATCTATGTGATATAAGAGAAAATGAATCTAGACTCAAAGGAAGTTAGTCATCCTGAGCTTACATTAAAATCATAACTGAGCCCAGATCATTTGCTCTCCAATCAACAAAGCTATAATTGCAGAGAGTGGCATGCTAAACTTTCAACCATTTTCTACCTTCGCAGTTCATGAGAATTGCAGATAGCAAGACATGTTCAGTGCATTCTGCAATCTGTCCTTGTGAATGAACTGGCCTTTTGAAAAGAAAATGTCCTGACTTAGAAAGTAGAGTAATGCTTATGGAAAGAAACCATATTACCACATTAAATTGAAATCTGATAGTATCTCATCCTTATCATCCACATGACCTTCCCAGAGAAAATAAACATCTGAATTCTGTAATAACTAAGGCTAGCTATAGAAATATGATTTCAGCATTCTTGTAAAAATATAACAGTACAGCTACCACTACTGAAAAGGGAAGGACAATCTTTGTACAGTAGTGCATTCCTCAGTTACAGATTTGAAATTTTCCATTAAAAATAGTTTTTCAAAAATAAAGTATCTGCAATTCAAACCTTATAATTTTGAAGTATTCTGTTTATTGTATGTCTTTAGGGTTTTTCTTTGTTTTAACAGCATGCAGCTTGACAGAAATACACTGCCCAAAAAGGGATTAAGGTATATGATATTTTATTCAGCATGACTGCTGTTTCTCTGTTGTTCTGTAACTTCTTTCTATAATATATCATCCTTTTCTTGTTACTGTGTAAACTGTATTGAACAACTAATAGTACTACCATTTATATTAAGAAATCAACTTTTTAAAAAGTTAATGTATTTTCTGTCTCTGGCAATGAGAAGAATAAGAATAATTTGTAGGCTGCATCCTCAGCAATTGTATAATCTGTATATTTGCCTTGAAGATTTTCACAGCTGAAAATGTTTTTTTTTCCCCAGAATTGCTCAACTGTTTCACTGGAATTTCCAGATAAATTTCAAATTTTTGCTTGGGTAGTATCCTCTGACAATCTAAGTGATTCTCAAAGTATGGTCCACTGACCACCAGTGCTTTGCAGAAGTCCATCAAGCGCTCTTCCACAGCCTCACACATTCACTGGGCAGAGCCTGTTTGTGGTCTAGGGGCCACGTTCCTAATGTGCAGAGACACACTAAGAAATGCAGTTTGTCTGATCAAAACAATTTCACTAACCCCTCAAATTCATCAAATATTTCACCTGAATCAAGAACCCAATGTTTGCGTCAAATGTCACTTTAAAAATACCACTTCCCACTGCTCAAAATTTTCTGTTCTTTACAGATTGATTCCTTACAGATTGCCTTTTATTCAGCTAAAGGTAGATGTTTACCACAATGATTATGCTGATTATTGAATCCTACAGCCTTACTTTACTTCTGGCTTTAAATTGACTCTCAGAGAGCTAGAACTATTGGTCAGTTTCCAAAGGTTTTCAATAATAATATTTTCAAGCAGAAAGGATACAAAGATTTTCTGCTACAGTGGAACTATAACTCAGTGAGTTGCCAGCCTCTTGAACGTGCATTTGAGGTGGGTTTTCCAAGGAAACTGGTAGGGAAAAAAACAAAGAACCAGTTATAGTTCCACCAACAGTTTTCTTTATTAAAAACAATATGCTGAGCATTATTCTTAATTATGCTGCAATTGGTACAACACTTTAGTAAGTCTTTTAGAATCCAAGGGGAGAGTTTTGCCATCTTTCTTTTCGTTTATCTTAAGACATTACCTTACATTCTGTTAAAGAAAAGTAATTACTCAATTCCCATGAGAAACATGAGGGCCAATACAGATTACACCTTTCTTGTTCTTGGCTATCAGTCAATTAAAATCTGATCTCAAGTCCAACATTAGCAGTGTACTGTCAACTAACTGAAATATTAGATTGCAATAAAACCTGTTTTTTTCTTGCAATGCATATTACTAAGCAATAATCAGTTTTGCTTAGTGGGGCTTCTCAAGTAGACTTGTGAAAAGAAAAATAGCATCAATCCTGATACCTATTTGGTTATCCAAATATATCCACCTCAACAAACCTTGCCCCCATACATGAATCAAGCGTTACCAAAGCCTTGCAGCCCAACAGTCTGTTTCCAAATATGTGCAGAAATGGGTCCTTGATTCTTACAGCAAGAACAAACTTTTTGTGCAAAGAAAGGGCAGCTGATCCAAAGTCTAGTTTTAAAAATAGGCTTTAGAAAAATCACAGCACCAATTTTTATTTTTATTTTTTTAAGTTTGAAAAATATTTGGGTGTATGTAGAAATGTAAGCACTGCATTGCAATCTGAACTGCCCAAAATGATCTCATATGCTTACTGTATTTTTCCGACAATAAGACGCCCCCATGTACAAGACGACCCCCACTTTTCCAACTCAAAATTAAAAAATC